TTGTACGTTTTAGTAACATGTGGAATCAGTCAATGCAACATTTGAAACAACCTGCAAATCAGTTTGCACAGTGAATAAGGCAATCGGAAAAATTTGAATTGCATGGTGCGTTGTGGCTAGTACTCTCATTCCTACAAATATTTACATTTTTCATTCTGTTTCTTTCTTATAATTATTTTACTTGCTTATTTTATTGAACCCTGTTATTCTTTATTGGTTTTTAGTATTTGCTTGTACTTTTAAGTAGTGATTTGAAGAGATTGCACGTGGCCGATGTGAGAGATCATCGCCACGTTTGTCTTAAGTCGTGTTATTTTTTTCTTGGCATTTCTCATTACTGTAATATTATGTAGTTTCAGATTTTGTCTTTCATAATGTTCGTACTTTTATTCATTAAGCGTTCTAAGTTCGAGACCAGTGACTCTCCGCTGGTGAGCGATCGATATCTGACGATAGAAATTGTAGCGGTGCGATGCACGTACGGCATAGTAGCGGTATAAAACCGTTGGCAAAGCTTTCAGATCAGTACGATCGATTATGAAGACTATTGATCGAATTATATCATTTTTTTATTATTTAATGTATTATCCTTTGTACATGCTGTTGTCACTGAATTCATAAAAAGTAACATTTAATGGCCAGAAAATGTATTGAGGAATTTTTTGTTTATTAATGTCAGATAGTGCCAGATAATCACTCTGATATATTTTCTTTTTACAACGTTTTTGTTAAAATATTCGCTTCTGATGCTTGGTTTTGACTGGAACTTAATTTTGATTTCGCTATATTTCCCTTGATTTCATGTCAGATGTGCTTCAGCATTGTTTATTTCGATGTAGGACGTTTTTAAAATTTGGGTAGCAGAGCTTGTTCGAACTTTGCGTATGAACAGTTATACCGATTTATGCATGGAAAAGTTAACCACATCTGCTTCTGTACGTGATCGACAGGCGAGATTTTCGGTATGCAGATTTGAGAGTGCGTAGAACAGCTTTGCTTTGCGTTTCGCATTGTGTTTCTGTTGTAATTAATACTGGTGACTAATGGAAAACTTTTTAGATCGGAAAATGTCATCCGGCGCGCTGGTCGTCAACTCGTCTTCGCCTTCGTCGTCGTTTGTGGAAATGTCCACAAGATCCGGCGAGTGGCTCGAAAAAAATTGGTCTCATTGTCTTTACTGGCTCGTCGCGTACATGATCTTCCTGAAATGGGGTCGACAATACATGCAGGACAAGCAACCGCTCCAGTTAAAGAAATCGCTGATCGTCTGGAATGCGTTCTTCGCCTGTTTCAGCGTCATCGGCTCGATCCGACTTTTCCCCGAGTTTTACCACACGGTTATGGAATTGGGCTTTTGGAAATCTTATTGCTTCGTTGGTACCTTCTACAAGGGCAAGTACAGCTACTGGGTAACGCTGTTCCACTTCTCGAAGCTGCTAGAGTTGGGCGACTCCGTGTTCTTGGTGCTTCGCAAGCGTTCGATCCTCTTCGTACATTGGTACCACCACGCCACGGTACTGGTCTACTCATGGTTCTCGTACCACTACTTCACGGCACCGGCTCGCTGGGGTGTAGTCATGAATCTCCTGGTTCACTCGTTTATGTATACCTACTACTTGTTCAGGTCGATCGGTATACGTCTCCCGTGGTTCATCGCACCGTGTATCACCACCATGCAGTTGATGCAGTTCGTTCTCGGCACCTATATCTGTACCGACGTGTTTTTGCGCGTCATGAGGCGCCGTAGCTCATGCGAAACCGATCCGACTGTCGCCGCCATTCAGCTCTTCCTCTACTTCACATTCCTTGTCTTGTTTGCTAACTTCTTCTACAAATCGTACATCTGCAAGAAAAAGCTCCGCAAGTCTGAGTAAATCCATCATTACTTTGTCTAAAACGCATCACTTAGCATGAATCCTTTTTATTTTTCTCTCTTTTACCTCAATGTTTTCGTGCTTCGCGGTTTTACGACAACAGTTTTTAAACATTCTCTCTCGTACAAAATACACCCACTCGGTTTTGTCCCCTTTCACTCGTCATTGTTGGTCGCTCATTTAACTAGTTGCTTTTACTATTTGCATTCGTGTCTTTGCCTTATGCGTTATAGTGTTTTGTTGAAACCTTGTTTTGCACAATAAATCATAGTTATATTATTGTAGCGATCTATTTATGTGATATTTTATTTCATATTCTCTCATATAGAGGAAATAGAGCCTTTGACTAAGCATGGTCGAATAGCTGAAGTTTTCTAAAAGTTTATCTTTCTGGGTATTCTGATATAATTTCTTCATTTTCACGTGATACAAGTTAAACTTTATAAGATTGCTATTGTTATTTTTTATTAGGGGATTCTACACGTATATTTGTAGATCTGATGTTTCGGACCATGCCTATTATGTCCTCAGAGTTACGATAATAGCAATAAAAATATCGTTATCAGGAACAGCACTAAGAAAAGCCAGTTGCATCATTGTTGAACGTTGGTTAAATGTCAGCCACGAATGGGTTGAAAGCAAACAATAAGGATAAGGACAGGTACCACACTGCACAATCAATCATATCGAATAACTCGACTGTTAGGGAAATAACACTGCCAAATGTTCAGTGTTAACCTAAGAGCGGGTTGAGTTTAGACTGAAACGTGACTTATACGAAGTGTTGTATAAGTATATTTTTATTTTATTTTTTTTGAAATCACAAGTCAGTCTTTTCTCTTATAAAGGCACTTCGTTGCCTTGAATACGGGTTTAGCATGATTTTGAACTTTGACCTTTGTATCAACAATTTGCATGCAGAGATTCTCCCATTCAAGAACTTAATTCGTGTCATAGAGAAACGTTGCAGATATTCATAACTTTCTTCAGGTTTCTGATTCTGGATCCAAAGTTATTTGAATAATTTATGATTCGGAGCACCAAATATAGCAGATAGTAGAAAGTTTATTGCCAACGCGTTCCCTGAACAATCTGCAGCATCACCAGGGCTGGACTGAATGCAATACTAATTACTTTTTTTGTCAATTATGTGGATTTGCGCGGCGTAATGGAACCGGCCCCTTGCTTCTAGTAACTTAGGGAATAAATAGGATTTAAACAGGTCACGGATCCACGGTATTTTGCCACCTACAGTGCATGCACGCAGACCACCAGAATACAGGCGGTATTCCTACCGGCATTATCGAAAAGGATCAATTTGCTAACAAGCACTTAATACTGGAACTAATTTTTTAAAGTGCGATACAATTTTATTGTTATATCTGCAAATTTAAATATGTGTGAAAGGAAGTATCGATTCTTTGCCTGTTTGAATAACGGTAAATGATTATCGTTTCATGGTTCAAAGCAATAATGTAAAACGGCTTGTGTAACTTCCTGTGTTCACCGACTCGTTTCTTTGCCGACACAAGGTGCGTTTTCATCAGGGTTATGTTACACAAATATAGCAATCAGCATAAAATTAATAAATGTGTTTAAGTGACAAAATCGTTCGATTGAAAAACGAGTGCCATTAACTGTTGTATTATGCAATATGACATGCCATAAGAAAAAATGGCGATGGTCTATTCCTGACTGAAACTGAGTCCTCCAATAGGTGTAGTCATAAACTGAGTTTGCTAACAAAAGTTAATTTTCACTATTGCGGTAACATTCATATGCACATGTCACTTTTGCGAATTTTTGTAGCGTAGTCGAACGCGTTTCTTTCGGATAATTGTTAATAAGCGTAACTTTGTAACTTGTTAACATTTCTCTATATGCCTACGAATAATTTTTATTAACTTTCGAACATTTCGTTTGACCCCACACACAGATGCTGTTGTACATACATTTAGCACTGCCAATTTTGTAGTGCCATGTAGTAATGGCTTCATTAAAATGCCCCTTTACCACTAGAAGGGAGGGGTCAGTGCAATCGTTCCTTGTAGAACCGAGTATATGAGAAAGATTGTATGGTTCATATCATAACAGACTGCTAAGTGAGTAATGCGTCGGTTGCGATTGTTTTATTCTCGCCATGTCGGTCAGCTTGTTGCTGCTTATTAATGCAGTCTTCATTTTTTATGTTTGTCACAGTGATAATTTAACTTGGCTGTCCCTTATTTTGCTTTTCATGCAAAAATTAGACGCATAATGGTTTTCCTGTCTGGTAATAAATTTCGAGCTCTTTCATTGAATAAATAGATGATTGGGGATTTCTTTTCAAGGGAATTCCTTTAACTAAGAGTTGAAGATGCCACATTCACTTTTTTGCAATTTCGCAACATTCAGTTCGATTTCTTGTTTGACCTATTTTCATGCTTTCATGAATGGTTATCTACAAACAATATAATTACGTTCAATCTGTTAGTGTTTATTTCTGCATCTTTCGAAGCTCATGTCTTCAGAACCTTGCGAGCTAAGAGTCTGCTGCCAAGTTGTGAAACAACATGCTGATAAGTCTATTTTAATCATAAACAAAGATGAATTAAACTTATTAGTAAGCGTCACTGCTACCACGTATAATGCAAGATTGATTCTCTGGCCTTAATGAAAACGGCAGCAACATGCAAATTGCTTTACTGATGAAATGTTTTAAATCTTAGAAAATGCAATGTAAATATCGAGATCTTACATTGAATAGATGCTTTTTGCAACCTTGAATTCAAAAAAACCTGTTAAAGGTTGCATTTTCTGCTCATCCCTCGATGACCGATTCATGTTTGGCCATACCATTAGATTTGTTTTGAATTTGTTCCTGTTATTAAGACTTCTTCAGTCTGTTGCTGCTAACCATGGAACCATAAGACTGTTCACCTTCAAGTCATTTACAACACTAGGAATACGTCTTAAAGGTAATTATTAATTCAGCATTTATTAGTATAAATTTGGAACATGTTATGTTTTAGCTGGCCTCGGCAGAAGATTTATCATGTCCTTGAATAATCCTCGTCTCGTGAAAATAAACGTAACTGTTTTTTTTGTTGAGATCACCATCTCGTGTTGTTTGCATAAGCAGAACGTCTCTGGTTTGTGATGTCCGCTGAATCTGCAGCTTCGTAAGACTTTTGCTATGAGGCAACTGTTAGTGAATCGCAGAAGAAAGTATTTACTCTCCGCAAGCACATTTGATTCTACACTGTTCCTCAGTGCTGCATGCGGGCCTCGACTCTGCCGTATTTCGGTTCCCACGCGAGAAACTCACGGGTTGGAGTAAATGATGTATGCTCAGTCAGTTTGTTCTACAGGTTCAGTCACCTGACCGGAAAGAAAATAGAGTCATTGTGTTCGTGGTCCTGCCATTTAATCCTCATTAGGCATAAAAACCAGTGGAGCTGCGCGGAGTTCAACCGTCGTTCTTGTTCCTTCGCTAGAACATCGTCCTCCATTCCGCATTGGCCTGACAGAAGCAACGTCAAAGCAGATTTTCGGTGGAAGAGGGAATGGAACTTTTCCACTATTTTCGTTGCTGGCGCTTTAACGCTGGAGGTCGATCCTTCGGCCAGGCTTTATTCACCTGGTAGTGTAGCAGGGCATTTTGGATTCTCAGCTTTATGAGTAGTTCTGTACTTGCCGCTAGTAATAGAATTACAGTAAAGTTGGCAGAATGAAACATTCACTTTCGCGTTCATTAACTGCTGCTAGAGACTGCCAAGTAACCACAGACCCCTACAGTGGAATAACTATCAATGATGAATCATGTTTGTTTGATCTTGCTTTACATACAGCTCAAGTTTGCAGATGCAATCAACTTAAAAGAGGGTCGATTCACGCTGATCGAATCCGTA